GAACTGACCTTTATAATAAGCATGCACTTTATTTTCTTTCAATGCATTTCGTAATGAAACATTTTGCCAATTTATGGAAATGTCATGATGTGAGGAATCAGTTAGGTCTTACCCGCGTAACTGTTGTAGTAGAAGTTTTATATAGTCTCAGACCTCCACAACACTGCAAATAACTCAAATCCTGTAAATGTCACAATTGTTACACATATACACACAATCAGTGGTTATACATGACCCTGGTTCCTGGTTCAGGAGGAGAAGCAGTTTTGCATAGACATACTGTGGTGTTACTACACATCACCAATACCTTATGTAAAACAAATGTAGGGCTTTCTATGCTTGGAACACAAATATCGTCACTGTATCGTTCATGGTTACTCAACAGACGGTAAATTGAATATATTCAATCAAGAAGCCTCAGAAGAAATCGAGCAACAGTGTAAAACGCCCTCTGTTATATAAGGGCAACTGAAGCGGCCTATAAAAGGCTGCTTCTTAACCTGAAATCTGTCACAGCAGAGGGCAGGCCTGCTCCTGCTCTCAGCTGCTTGACGAAGGGGAGGGAGGAGGAGGCTGCCTGCTAATCAGAGCACTCCCTCTGTTAACCACTTCGGCGACAACCCAGCTCCTTCACAAACAATCGCTGTCACAGCGGAGACCGTACTGATGGAATAACACAGCGAGCACCATATGCGTATCAAAGTCAGACAATGCGATGGCGTATGAGTCTATACTTGATCTGCACAGCCGTTTGCCAAATACTCCAAATGTAGTTCCGAGGAAAACACGGCTAGCCCTCGGAGCTGTCCCGAGGACAAAAAGCAAATCGCAACTAGTCCACCATATTTGTCAATCCTGTTTGTTCGCCGGTCATCTTGCAATCTTTATCCTCAGATTGCCGAGTACCTGGTTTAGGCTTTTCGTGAACTCCCTGTGCTATAATTATCGTCATTTAAACACACACGCATACACACACACACACACACATACAGTGCTTCACAAAATGTCCACAATCCTCAAACTAACGCAATCTTTATGTATAGATTGCGGTGGGTGTTCGTTCCGTGGATCAGCCCCTACAAAACAAAATCTGGCAGGCAAAAAGTCCGGCTTCATGATCTGGAAAGTTCCCTTCTGTGCCTACGGCAATCTTTATGAACAGATTGCTTATGGTTATTTTACGAATTTTCCAGTTATATCTTTATTTGTATAATTACTCAATTCCGTCTCACACACGAAGAAACGGAGCGTTTTGCTTCCGTCCACGTTCCTGTGTGAGCTCATACTACAAGTCTATGCTCAAATTATTTGCTAAGAACCAAGCTAACATACGGTGCCTGCTAGCCAGCTACCGCTAGGTAGCCTATTGTCTACGACTAATTTCATTTGAGGAATTTCAATTCAACTTCAAAATCAACTTACTATTGATAATATAGATCCTCAGCGTCTCGGGTATATTATAGTGTGCTTTTAAGGCACTTATAGATCCTATTTAAATAATTTTATGTCTTCAACCTTCATGGTTTTAATATCAACTGAAAAACTTCTTGTGGGTGGGGCTGTGATAGCTAAATGCTAGCCTTTCCTTCAGGAACAAACTGGAGGCAAAAATAGTAATCAAATGTCCATTACTTGAAGAAAAAACATGAATTTGAGTTGTTCAAAGTCCTCGACGGCTCAGTCTTCGGGAAAGCAAATTCATACCTGAAAAACACACAGAAAGCGCACATTTAATTTCATTTGTATACAAAATTCCCATCCCTCATCAACATCAACGTCCTTGAATGTTTTGTTTTATACACTCAGCAGTAATTTCGCATTAAGAGCTGAACAATGCGTCGAAAATAAGCCCCTCTGTTTTTCTGACTTGACTTACCTTTGACCAAATCCAGGAATGAGCGCGTGTAGGAGGGATCTACCTTTTATACTACGTGACGTTTTTAACGTCACCGGAAACGTTTTTTTAACGTTTCCGTTGAAACAAAATGGAGGATAACGGTCGTTCTTTGCCAATCAAGGACAATATGGCGCATCTCACATTGTTGGAAATCTAATTTTGAATTACTCCTCGTAATCGCCATCAATGCGTTAAATTTTTGTATAATTCGAATCAGACAAAACTACATCAACATATTTCATCGACAAACCCCAGTTTTACTGATTCTTTGATATATAAATTTAGTAAACAATATTCCTTCAAAATGGCGACTAGTCTTTTTGTTTGTCACGTGCTATAGATGTCACATGTTCGTGCTAACGGGAACGCCTCATTTTTAAAATAATCGTCTTTATTCAACTAATTGAAATGAAAATGGCAGGATTGAGTTTTGCATCAACTAAGATTGATTTATTACCGAAATGATTTAGATTTAGATTATATACTTGAGAAGCAACTTAACCTTTCACCTTTTACCTCTAACCCGGGTAGGATCTGAAAATGGCTACCTCCATGAAGTACATCGCGACGTTTTTATGTCGTGTGTCGTCTTTAACTTCGTATTCAGTTCGTCAGTATCAGGTATTATATTTCATTAAAACGATGTGCTGACTAACACATTACATGTATGGTGCGGGGAAACTGCTGGATGCTGCCTTGTTGTGTTGTACCGCTTTTGTTAGTGCTGTGGTTTTTCTACCACATAAACATTGGTCCTACGGAGATCAGATATTTGTTTGTAAGTGAGGCATAATAATTAAATGAAAACACTAATTGATATGTTTTTCATCACGATAGTGGTTTAGCTGGTCTTTAGTTGGTGTGTGCTCCAGTATAGATCTATATC